TTTATCATTCCTTGCATCATGTAGATCTGTCCCGTAAAGTCAAGTTATTGAAGAGTCATCGATAGGCATACATGTTCGATTAGGATTTCTAAGTTTCTAGACCATATTCTGGATCTCATCGCTTCTAAATTGTTCATATTGCATGAGAGTAGATTCATGACCTATTCTCTGAGCCTAGGATTGATCAGAGCCACGAGAGTGCTGTATCAGATCATCCATACCTAGCTTCAGAAGAACATAGTCGCTACAGGAGTCGAGAGCTACCTGTAGAGAAGATGTGAGGAAAAACGAATTCAATTGTTAATGCATGATCTTAATTCTGGCATGAGAGCGAGAGTTAATTATCAGATTTGAGTGATTAGTTGATTAAGATGGCGAGAGCTGGTTAATCATACACATGTCTATTCCAGTTTCATGTAGATCCCAGAAATCTATGAAGAGAAATCGTTCGGAGGCTAATTGGAAATGCTTTGACATCGATTAGAGTAAACCGGAAAAGTCTAAATCGCCACCTATAAGTTTAGAGTCTATAGTTTGAGTCGACATCCTTGAGATAATCTTTTAACAACCCATTTGCATTGCATTTTATTTCCCGTATATATTAGATTAGGTTTAGCTTAGGATTCTTAACCAAAAACCCAAATCTCCATAAGTTTATGACTTTGCTTACTTTCCCAGTTTGTTGTTTCTTGCAGATTATACATCTTCTCTGTGGATCGACACCCTAAGTCCAACAACGTACATATGTGTACTTGCAGACACTAGTTGTTTTATAAATTTAAAACTTTTTAGGACCAATGGGCTTGTAAAAAACACGACACTAGCTAGGCCCTCACCCATCAGCTGAAAGTTGGCGAAAATCATTTGTTTCTACAAATCTGATTTTTTAAGTTTCGCAGAGCAAACTTGGGAGAGTTTTTGCCATCAATCTAGAAGGACCCAGATATTGATCCACATACCAATCTGTAAATCTCGAATCGTTATTTGTATATCAACCTTCAGATCTAGTTTCCGAGGTAAACTACAAAAGTTATAGCTGTACCTTCTCGGCCAAGAAACAGAATGGACTTGCAAATCTGAAACCCTAGTTTTGTATTGTGTGTATCACAGGGCTTGGATACCAACTTCCATTCTTCAGACTCGACTTTGTGGTGTTCTTAAAGTGACGACTAGTTAGTAGATTCATTTGATGCATTAGCTGGTCTAGTAATAAGTGTATGCTTGGTATAGATATTGAATTTGAAATTGATGATTGTTAATTGATGATTGATGAATGATACTAGACCTTAGAGAAAACGTTGAGTTGCCTGATTGATAGGTTGTTAGAACTTGTTATTGTACTGCTGTGAACATGATTGTTTACGGTTTGTTTGACGGCCTACAACGAAAGATTGAATATTGTGAAGTTTTAGTGCTCGAGAAAGGGCTGACGAGCCATAGTCAAGCCCTGTTGAGGGTGGTTGCATCGGTAACTTGTCAAACCCAGAATAAGTGGTGGCAGAGAAAGAGTACAATTGACAGAGGTTCTTTGGGTCTTTGGGAATATATCATAGAATCTCTAGGTTGATTGTTATGATTGAGTGATTATTTGATTAGAAAATATTAGAATTATATTATATAATAAAATTAGTTATTATATTCTAGGTTAAATGTTGCATGGGTTCAATGTCTATATCATGAATACTCGTGTTACTATATCATATAATGCATTTATAAATATTGTGTGCTACATAAACACACCCTCAGTAATTATTTTTTTCTGAATGCTCATCTCTCTTATTTTTTTTTTCAGGTGAGACCGAAGAGTAGTACTTGTGGCGGTCGATGCGGTAGTTCTTCCGAGGACAATGGAAGCATTTATTTAATTATTTTTAATAAGGATTTAAATATATATATTTTCGTTTTTTTCTTTCAAATATTTAACATTCGGTTTATTGTTAAAATGTTTTGATTTTCTGGTTTATTTATTTTTAATAAAGGATTTCAGACAATAAATTAATATTTTGTTATTCTTTCTAAAAGCTATTAAATTAGTGTAAATCAAGTTAGGTTTAATTTGTAAGATTATGGTGTTTCATATATCATCTCACCAGCGTATGGCTTCTAGCCTCCAGTCAAGAGATATCTTTTGCACAAAAGCTCGCAGAGCTTAACTGAGATCCATATCAGCAGAAAGATTGTGTGCAAGCCACATAGTTTCCATTTATCCTGTTACCTCAGCTCCAGCATCATCTTCCACACTGATGTTCTCAACCAGTGATTGTTAACCCAAATATTTCAGGCTGTTTCAGAGTTTACAACTATATGATTTGAAGAAGAGGATGACATTAATCTGAACAGAGGATTCAGAAGCGTCGATCCAAATATCTCAAGCTGGTTTGGAAGATTCTTGGTTTGTTTGAATGAAAGATTAGGGTACTTCAAGGTTTTTAAATCTGTTTGGATAATATTGATTTGCTGTAGGAGTTTTGGATTACATGGAATGGTTGTTATTTAGAAGCTTTAAGATATAAGACGAACTCTGTTCGTTTGTCCATTTGATATTTACAGTCAGATGATTCATCTGGCTGATCCATCCGAATGATGTTCGTTTTATTAATAAAATTTTATGATTCATTTAACTTATTCATTTGGCTGATCTATCTGAATGAAGTTTTGTTTGTTTGATCATTTCACATCTCATTTAAATCATTTCAATTAAAAATATAACTAAAATACCCATGTTTTCATCTAGTCATATTTTCAGTCTAATATTAACTATATTATTATTAATTCTTAATATAAATAATATTTTACAACTAAATAATTTTCAGATTATTATTTTTAACATTAGAAAATTTTTCTTTTTATGAAAATAAAATTTTTTTATAAATTTTTTTTAACAATTGATTTAAAAAAACAATTGATTTAGTGATTGATTCATACCCAATAAAGACATTTAAAACAAATATTTTCTCATTGGTGAAGCAAACTACAATATCTTCTTCTTGATTTATAATTTCATCATACATCACACAATATCAAATTGAAAGAAAAAAAACATGTCATATTATGTTTATAAATGTACTAAACAAAGTTTTTTTTGAAAAGCATAATCCTTAAACCACCAACTCTCCATTCTATTCACCTAATCCTACAAATAAAGACAGAAATCTTTTTTTAGATAATTGTACTTCTCCAAAAAATGAAAAAATCTAAAATGAAGCTTACCATACAGCGAAAAGCAACATGTGCCAAATCCAAAACCTATCCAAAGCCAACAATCATATATTAGAATAAGAGGAGAATTCAAATAGAAGACAAAAGAAAGACAAAGATCACATACATGTTAATATGGAAGTCTAGTTCCTTTTGCCATCTCTAAGGTAATGGAATCACGTTTTGCCTCCATAACTCTATCACCTGATGGCAAGTATGGAACATTTCCAACATTTTCATCACCATGCTGTTCATATGACTCCACCTTTTCCCAATATTCAAAGTCTTTATCCTCTTGCCTTGAATCTCGGATAAATTTGTGAAGAGCCATTGTTGATGTCACAATTTTTATCCATTTCTTAAGCTCATACTTAGGGTCTTTCCTGTCCAGCATCCGCCATGTAGCTTTCCGTACACCAAATCTGCATTCAATCTTCGATCTCAAACCATAATGCTTGCGGTTGAACAACTCTCTATTGTTTGTTGGTGGTCCTCCTCTGTTGAAGTGATCCAGATGATATCTATTTTGGCGAGGTGGACCTAGATAATCAGTTCTAGTTGGATAACCCGAGTCAACTAAGTAATACTTTCCAGGTGGAGGATGTGGAGAAGAAGCTTCTTGTGTTGCACAATGTGTTAGCACCTTTGTGTCATGTGCTCTCCCGGGAACTCCAACATAAGCATATATGAATTTTATACTGAAATTACATATAGCAAGCACATTCATAGTTGGCTCTGCTTTTTGACCTCTAAATGGTTCTACATTCCTTGATGGAGGACGAACTGGCACATGTGTGCCATCAAGAGCACCAATGCAATCCTCAAAATAAGGCATATACTGGTCATCATCTACTAGAAAAAGATTAGCACTTGCAAACTCATCCCTTGCGGGTTTCACTATATGTCTATATCTTCTAGAGTTTTAAAAGAGAACTTAAAACATCATCTAGCTTCCTTTTCACTGTGTTTAGCTAGTGAATGTTGATACCGGTCAGCTAAGGCTCATACAGTTAGATCTTGTGCAATCATTTCTATGAACATTGCAACACTCTCTTCAATATAAACATCATAAGATTCCTCTAACTTATACTGTTCAGATAGCCTCTAACACAAACTCCTAAATGTTGACTAGTGCATGCGTAGAATATCAAAACATTGTACCTTAGACTCAAAAATCAATCGCTGCACATGTTGCCAACCTTCTCCTCGTTTTGTGTTCACTGTTTAATAGCAATACCTTTGCAAAAGAGGCAAGTGCTTGCTCAAATAATTTCATGGACATAAGTTACATAACTACATGTTTGTAAATTTGTGATATATTGAGAAAATAATGTATTTCCTCTTCAGAAGTATCATATAGTTACAAGTTTAAATATATTTACTTTGTAATTGGAGAGATTTAGGCCGAAGTCGAAAATTTGGATAGATCTGTTTATGATATTTCTACGAGAGAAATACACTATATCGTTTCTGACATAAGTAGTGAAATATAATTAAACCTTTATAAATTAATAATGTCGAGAATGCAATATTTTATTAATTTATTGATATAAAAATCAGCACAAAAAGTTAATTTAGGATTTAAAAAATATTAATTTATCAAAGTAATAATTTATCAAATATTAATTTATAAAAGTTATATTGTACGTTGTTAATAATAAGAAAAACAAGTGACAAAAAAAATAATAATAATAATAAGAAAAACAAAAAAAATCGGCCCAAAGGAAAAAGACAAAATGCAACAGATATTGTACAAACCGGTTTCAAATCCAAATCTAGTTGGTTCGCTTAATTTCCAATTGTTCTAGATCTCTCGTCGCGTCCCTCGTCGCCGTCGAATCGGGCGGTAGAGATTAAAATTAAAAGACCACGGCCGGCTAGAGGAATATAAAGATCATCAGAACCTCAAATTTCCACCTTCTACTGTACAAACACTCACCGCAAGCAAACGATGTCGTTTTGGTCTCTCAACCTTCCATCTCCTCCTTCCTTGCCTGCTAAGCTCAAGCCTTTCAATGGCTACGGAAAGCTCGATCGTTATCTCGCGCGAGCCTCTTCCGATGTTCCCGATTTCCTCTCTGCGGATTGGTACAATTTCTCATTGTTCCCCTTCTTTGATCTCTCTTAACTCAAAAATTTCGCTCACTTTCATTGGTTTTGAGCTTTGGGTGTTACTGGGTTTTAGCTCAGGCAAATAGCTTTAGATTTGACCAATTGGCTTCAAGAACTTTGGTTCCCACAATACAAAAATTCGATTTTGCAAAGTCTTCGTTGTTTGCCTTACACTTGAGATCGAAATTTTTATACTTTTGAAGTTCCTGGATGGTTTTACAGGTTGGAGAGTCGTAGGAAACGTCCTTTTGGCCCAAGACTTGATGTAATGATGATGATACATTGTTTACTTTGTGCATTGTCCCTAAAAAATATTCAATTGCTTTGTGCAGTGTACTGATCCGAGTTTTTAGATTGTTTTGTAATAGTTTAGTGCCGAAGAAGCTGTTCGACATCAGCTTGATGCATTGAAGTATAATGACCATCCTCGTTATGATTATGGCGTCGAGGTCATGTATCGGGTAAAAACTTTTTTATGTGTCTCCTTGACGCTTCTTTCGATTGTTGTTGCGATGTTTTGACATCTTCATGTCGGAAAAAACAAAAAACAGTTTGCCGGATTCGACCCGTTTGAGAGATCCACCTATTTCGGTCCTTTCTTTGATCTAGGACAGGTTACTTAAGCTTTTCTTTCTCAACACTTGATGATCGTATTTTTTCCTAGCTACTAGCTAAGGTTCTCTCGTCCCTTGGTTACTGCAGTTTGAAAGGTTTAGGCGCATTTTTCATCACTCGTCTTACCGTGTGTTGCTTGGTCACAAAGACAGAAAAATCTTGAGCAGTTTGTTCGTTGAGGAGGTATTATCTCTTTTCTTGAAGATGTTACAACCGTTATTGTTGTCTCTTGATAACCTTTCTAGTATATACAGTATCGGTTCAAGCAGAGGATTTGGATTCAAGGAACTAGACCTGAGGAGGAAGAGATATTTGAGTTCACAATGTTCCAGGTTGATTCCTATGTCACTTATAGATACCCTTAGAAGTTTTGAATGGTTAATGCTATGTGATCCGCACTGATGATGATGATGATGATGATGATGATGATGATGATATCAATTGTGTGTAATGGCAGCGGATAGGCGGTTCATGGGATGGTTATTGGTTGACAGAGAGCTTGCTTCACGACGGAGATGTCTTTTCAGGAGGGATGGCTTACTGATTCCAATGCCGAGCATTCATCTCTTTTTCGGGTTATTGATTTATACACGGTCTTGTAAGTTTATGTTAATATTAGACGCGATTAGAATTAGATGTTTCTGTGTATTAAGTTCTATATATATGGAATCCAGCTTTGTTTTATACTTACATATACTCCTTTGTATACTTAGAGATTCATATCTTGATTGTTTGTTTAGTGTGTAATTTTGTTTTCAAATTATCACATTACTTTTACCATCCTAAGCACCAAAAAAAACAAAAAAAAAGCTTGAAAAAATCATAAATGCAAAAGCTGTTTTACAAGAGAATAATGTATAAACACAAACACAGAAAATTTACGTTTGAAACAATGAGGCTTTAAAGCTTGTCTTCATTCAAATGATGAACAACATAACATATACAATCTCTTATCTCTGGCCATAAGAGAAAGCAAAAGAATACAAAACGAGAAGAGACTTCTCCAAGTGACTTATTCCCAAGTTTGAACATTACCAAAAAAATAGGATTCAAAATAGAAACTTAGTCACACATGGTTTTTCTTTTCTTCTACACAAGCAGTATCCAATATAACAGCAAAGAAGATAAACAGAGATCTGCAGGATGATCATAAACAGGTATTGAGTACAAAGTTCATAAGTTACCATAACAATCTATTTTGTTGGCCATGTAGCTTGAGCTGACATAATGATCCCAACGATAACTCCAAATAACCCGAGAGCACTCCCAAAGATCTCGATCACAAGAATCTTCACAAAAAGCGTTGAGTTCTGAGCGTCAGACAATGCACAACTACTTCCAATGATTCCTACACATAACCTGCAAAAACAGCAAAATCAGTGAGATTCCCACCGAGTCACAAAAAGCCTGCAAGCTTCGTGAAGAGGAAGATGACACAGACCCGCATACGAGGTTTGCGAATCCAACAATGATTCCAGAAGCAAAGATTGCATATCCAGCTCTTAGAGACTCAGCATCATACATCTTTGATGATGGTACACTCTCCAACTTTGTTTGTAGTATGATTGCAACAATTACACCATATATAGCTACGGCTTCACAAAAGATTACACTGAAAAAAAAAAAAAACACTTTCTTCATCTAAAATCAGAAGTCAGTTTCTTGTATATCATCATTCGGTCAACCATTCTTCTTCAATTTCGATCTAATTTACACAAATTCATGAAATTGAGGACGATTAGAGAAGTTTGAAGGCCCTTTGAATCGTGTATATACCTGATGAGATTCTTCGAAGTGATACGAGGAGCTTCTATGGCGGCACCGATCAAACTACTTCCCGTAATGTAAATTCCCCTAAATCAGATATAAAGAGAGCAAAAAGCTTTGTGAAGACGACGGTTTCGCGAATAAAAATTGGGAGAAAATAGGAAGAAGAAAGGATTTTATTACCAGGCAGCGCCGAGAACGGAGACGCCGATGGAGATGGCTATTCCGATGGCGGAAAAAGTATACGGAGAAGTCCTCACCAGAGCCGCACCCCATGAACTCGCGTGAGCAATAGTCACACCGGACATTTTCTCGATCTGATTATCTTTTTTCTTCTTCTCAAAGTCGGAGGAGAAAAATCAGAAAATTAAAAGCGCCTGTTCTATGATCTGTGAGATTTGGAAAGTGTAAATCACGCGCTGATGACTACGCGTGAGTTATGCTGGTATCTATCGCGTAAGCGAATTTGAAAGACTTAAAAAAAAAACACCATAAATTCGTATTGGACCTTATGGGCCTCGTGCTTCTCTGTATTTACTGGATGGTTTCCGTATTTTCCAATAAGGACTCAAGTGCCACGGGCCAGGCTCAATAAGGTCTGCCCCCGGGTGTGATGGGGCGAGTTCGGACATAGTTACATGGATGATGGACTATAGTCCTAGTGCACGGGTCTATTATAGTCTCAAACAAAAAAATTATCTACCGCAAGGCGACCTAGATGGATATGGATCAACGGGTTTAGCGGGCTAGCCTGTGGATCAACAGGTTTAGTGGGCTGGCCTGTGGATCAACAGATTTAGTGAGCTGGCATGTCGATTTATGTCTTCCATATTTTTAAGTTCTCATTTTTTTTTTTTTTTGACATCCTTTAAGTTTTCATTTAATAACATAGAATAATATTGTTTTTCTTTCAGCTATCATCTCAATAATATTCATATATCTTTCATCTTACAGGTTTTATCAGCAAAGTAAAACATGTAGTATATTTAAATTGAAATTGTGTCAATACACGTTGGACTTATCACTTATCGGTAGTATATGTCTTTGATCAGCTAACCCTCTGGACTTACCGGGATGGACTTGGATATAGTTATAAGGACTGTAGTCTTACCAGATCAGCAAGTTATGGTCCAAAAATATAAAAATATTCGTTGCGGGCAGGCTAAATGAACGAGGGCGGCCGGTCCGTTTGACATTCCTGTTGTAGGTGGGCTGAGCACAGCCCCCTTTTTGTAATTTCGTTCGGGCCCACTAACGAAATAAAAAGCCCAGTAAGATCGAAGATCGACAAGCCCACACGCGAAGATTAAAACGAGGTCGTTCAAAGAGACAACCTTTTCGTATCAAAGGAGCAGCTCGCCACCTCGACACGGATGGGACAGCTCGCCACCTCGACACGGATGGGACAGCTCGCCACGTCGACAAAGATGAAACAGCTCGCCAGCACGACGCTCCGATAGACGGTCGGTCAGGTCTATCTGCCCGGCCGCCCAAGCTACTCTGACCAAGATGTAACCTAATTTAAGCACTATAAATAGCCCTGTAACTTCATTTATTACGGGATCCGTAATCTGAAATAAAGACAAAAACACTCTACACTTAAATCTTCAACTCTTACCTCGTTTACTTGACCTCGTAATATCACCTCGAGAACCTCATATCGATCTCACCTCTACTCAAACAAGAATCTCCGAGCTCCACTTAGAAACATTTACCAAAGTGACCTCGTGTGCGGATATAATACAACAATTGGCGCCCACCGTGGGGCTAAGAGATTTCTTTCTACGCAAAGAGGAGCTCGATAATGTCAGGAATTCAAATCAACGAAACAACTAACCTACCCATCTCAACTACTGCCGAGGAGGGACTTCTTGTGTCACCAGTTAACAATCCGGAGACCTCGAATAGGCAGCCACCAACGATGAATCCCGTGGAAAACGCAACTTCAAACCCAGAAGCACAAGATGCGAATCGAAGCACACCAGCAGCTCCTACCGACGTCGCAACGTTGTTCGCAACAATGATGGCTCGAATGGAAGAGCTAAATCATCAGACAAGCACTCGCCTGAACGAGCTCGCCGCGACACAACTTTCTTGCCAAGATCAAGTCAACATATTACATTCTTCAGAGACTCAAGCCCCAGAGAGACGAGCCCAAGAGATTCAGCGCGTACAGCGCGCCTTATTCGGAGACTCACCCGCACCACCAACAACCGAAAATCATCCAACCTCGAACTGTGACGAGGTGAATATCGGGGCTCCCGAACACGAGACACGTCGGCTTCAGATAAGAAACTTGCAGCAAGACGAAGAAATACTCGAAATGAGAGCCAAATTGCGAGCCATGACTTCGCTTGTCCATCAAGCAACTAGCTCGGCACCCGAGATCGACCGTGTGTTAAAAGAAAGCCAAAGCACACCGTTCACGACCCGAATTACCGACTTCCCGATCAGAACTCAAGTGAAGTTCAATCTCCCGACGTATACAGGCAACTCGGATCCGAGCCAATTCATGACCGCGTTCAGCATTCAAATGGGTCGAGCACGATTCACCCACGAAGAGAAAGATGCAGGTTTCTGTCAACTGTTCGTTGAAAACCTCAGCGGTGCGGCCCTCGTTTGGTTCTCCAAGTTAAAAGTGAACTCGATTGACAGCTACCAAGCATTGTCGACCGCATTCCTCAAGAGGTACATGATATATATCCAAGGTGCAGTCTCCAGCGCTGACCTCTACCAGATCAAACAAGGCGAAAAAGAATCCCTTCGGTCTTTCATCGGCAGGTTCAATGCGATCGTCTCTCGAATCACCGTGATTGACGAGGCATCACTGCCAGCTCTTCGGAATGCCCTTCGAATCGATTCGAAGTTTCGAGATAGCCTCAAGTTCAGCAAACCCCGAACTCTCGAGGATGCGCTTCACCGTGCCACCTTATACATCGAGGACGAGGAAGAAAAAGAGAGCGCGTCGCCAGCAAAAACGACACCGAAGCAGCAACCTCACAAAGAAATCTCCAAACAAGATTATCAGGAGCCTCGACAACATCTCGACAATAACTATCGAGATGACAATCGCCGTGGAGCGACGTACAACATCAGCACTCAACAACAACAAAACCGCCAGTATCAAAACCAATCGAACACCTGGCAACGAGGAGATCGCGCGGAGACACGACCTTTCTGCGACTATCACAACAAGTACGGTCACCCAACTGCGATGTGTCGCGAGCTACAGGCCTACTTGCTCGCCAAATATCGGAAAGGGGAGATCGCTTTAGCAAACCAGCCCCAAAACACCGCTCCGCGAAACAACGAAGCTCGACCAGCGGTTCCCACCGAGCAACTTCCACCTCCTTCCCCAACAAACGAACGATCCAATGATGATCCCACAAAGAGAGATCGAGGTAACCAACCTCGAGGTGACACTCCCCCGGCATCTCAAAAGAAAGTGTTCTTTATCATGGGAGGCCTATCGACGTGCAACGATTCCGTCAGGTAGATAAAAAAGTACGGCCGCCAGGTCATGCTCGCACAAAAATGGCAAGTTAAAAGCCCTAAGACCGCCGATAGCGATGCAATCACATTCACCGAGGCCGACACGGAAGGAGTTAACATGCCGCACAACGATCCGCTTGTGGTCGAGCTGCGGATCGCCGATTGCGAAGTGTCTCGGATACTGGTCGATACAGGGAGCTCGGTCGACCTGATTTTCAAAGAAACGCTTGACAAAATGGAACTGGCGAACCATCATCTCAAGTCTTCGGTTAAGCCACTCACAGGATTCGATGGAGATACGGTCTACTCGATTGGGACGATCAGACTCCCGGTTTACGCAGCAAAAATGACCCGCCTGGTCAAATTTGTTGTCGTCGATAAACCTGCCATCTACAACGTAATTCTGGGAACGCCCTGGCTGCAATCCATGAAAGCGGTGCCGTCGACCTATCATCAATGCCTCAAGTTCCCAACCGCGTTCGGGGTAAAAACTATTCGAGGCTCTCAGGAGATATCGAGACTCTGCTTCGCTGCAGAGCACAAGCTCCGATTCAAATCCACGATTCCAGCCAAGGCGTGTCTCACGATTTTACCCGTAACTCAAGTCGATTTGCCAACTCAAGAAAGACCGAAGCAGGAGCTCGTCGTCCAAGTAAACATCGACGAAAGCGACCCCGAACGATGTGTAGGAATCGGAGCCGATTTAAAGGAGGAGATCCAGGTTGAGCTCGTACGACTTCTTCACCGAAACGCGTCGACATTCGCCTGGTCAGTAAGCGATATGCCAGGGATCGATCCCTCAATCACAAGTCATGAGCTTAACATCGATCCAACGTTTAAATCGATCAAGCAGAAGCGGAGGAAGTTAGGTCCAGAAAAGGCGCAGGCCGTCAATGACGAGGTCGAACGTCTGTCAAAGGCTGGCTCGATCATCGAGGTTAAATACCTCGAGTGGTTAGCCAACCCGGTCGTCGTCAAAAAGAAAAATGGGAAATGGCGAATCTGCGTGGACTTCACCGATCTCAACAAGGCGTGCCCCAAGGATAGTTTCCCCTTGCCACACATCGACCGCATCGTCGAGGCAACCGCCGGAAACGAGCTCCTGTCAATTATGGACGCCTTCTCCGGTTATAACCAAATCAGGATGCATCCCGAAGATCGCGAAAAGACGTCTTTCATCACCGATCGAGGAACCTATTGCTATAAGGTAATGCCGTTCGGTTTAAAAAACGCGGGCGCAACGTACCAGCGATTAGTCAACCACATGTTCGCCGAGCAGTTAGGACAAACAATGGATGTCTACATCGATGATATGCTTGTGAAGTCACTCACCGCCGGTGATCACATCGCCCATCTGCAAGCTTGCTTCACCGTTCTAAATCAATACCAGATGAAGCTCAATCCGACTAAGTGTACCTTCGGGGTAACTTCCGGAGAATTCCTCGGCTACATCGTCACTAAACGAGGAATCGAGGCAAATCCGAAGCAGATCGATGCCCTGATCAATCTCCCATCACCTCGCAACACTCGCGAAGTCCAACGTCTTACCGGCCAAATTGCGGCGCTCAACCGATTCATCTCGCGATCCACAGATAAGTGTCTTCCGTTTTATCAACTTCTCCGAGGCAACAAACGTTTCGAGTGGGATAGTAAATGTGAGGAAGCTTTCCAACGGCTCAAGGAATACCTCGCCAGCCCTCCAATTTTAGCCAAACCTGAAACAGGCGAAACCCTCTATCTCTATATCGCTGTGTCGAGCTCGGCAGTAAGCGGCATCTTAGTCAAAGAAGATCGAGGCGAGCAGAAACCGATTTTCTGCGTGAGTAAAACTCTGGACGACGCAGAAAAACGGTATCCAACTTTGAAGAAACTCGCGCTCGCGGTCATCATGTCTGCCAGAAAGCTACGACCCTAATTTCAATCCCATTCGGTCGTCGTCTTGACCAATCAACCACTTCGAACGATACTGCACAGCCCGAGCCAGTTAGGTCGCATGGCGAAGTGGGCTGTCGAGCTGACGGAGTATGATATTGAATATCGCAATAAAACAAGTGCCAAATCGCAGGTCCTCGCAGATTTTCTGATAGAGCTTCCGCCAGAGCTAATTCAGACCGACTAACCTGACGAGAAGTGGTCCTTGTACGTCGATGGATCCTCCTCGTCTCAAGACGCAGGTATCGGCATCCGCCTAGAATCTCCGACGAAAGAGATATTGGAGCAATCGTTCCGGCTCGAATTTCCAGCCTCCAATAATGAAGCAGAGTACGAGGCTTTACTCGCAGGACTACGCCTAGCGCAAGGAATCAGGGTCAAAAAGATCGAGGCTTTCTGCGACTCCCAGCTCGTTGCCAGCCAATACAGCGGCGACTACGACACCAGAAACGACCGGATGGACCTGTATCTTAAAGCCGTTAAAAACCTCACTGATCGCTTCGAATTTTTCTTACTCACCAGAATTCCAAGAGTGACAACACCTCGGCAGACGCATTAGCCGCCCTCGCATCGACGTCCGAATCACATCAAAGGCGCGTGATCCCGGTCGAAAGCATAAATTCCCCCAGCATCGTCTTACCTCGTGGAGTATGTGCAGTTCGCGGTCCTGAAGCAAACAGATTAGACGACATCGAATTGCCTCCCCCCGAGGTCATCGACGAGCCCGCCGAACAAGAACCAACAATCGAAGACTGGAGGATCGAAATCTTGCTCTACATTACAGATGGCCAAGTCCCAGACGATCGATGGGCAGCGAGGCGTTTAAAAGTTCGAAGCGCTAAATACATTCAGTCACACGGCGACCTTTATCGTTGGAGCTCGACGGGCGCTCTACTCAATTGTCTTCACGGTGGAGAGACGCTCGATGTCATGCGGGAAACGCACGAAGGAGCGTGTGGAAATAACTCCAACGGTCGAGCTCTCGCTCTAAAAATCAAGAACCACGGTCATTTTTGGCCGACAATGCTTACCGATTGCGATCGGTTCGTAGCTCGCTGCGAGCAATGCCAACGACATGCGCCAATGATCCACGCACCAGCCGAGCTTCTGGCTGCTTCCTCGCCACCTTATCCCTTCATGAGATGGGCAATGGACATCGTGGGTCCCCTTCCTCGATCCCGACAGAAACGATTCATGCTTATCATCACCGATTATTTTACGAAATGGGTCGAGGCTGAGTCCTACGCCAAAATCAAAGCAACCGACGTGAAGAACTTTGTCTGGAAAAACATCATATGCCGTCACGGACTGCCCTACGAGATCGTCACCGATAATGGTCCCCAGTTCATCTCCGATGTATTCAAAGACTTCTGTGCCAAGTGGAAGATACGACTTAGCAAATCAACACCGCGATACCCGCAGGGAAACGGACAAGCCGAGGCGACCAACAAGACTATCCTCGATGGCATCAAAAAGAGACTCGAGGATAAGAAAGGCTTATGGGCAGATGAGTTAGACGGAGTTTTATGGTCACATCGAACTACACCGCGAAGATCGACGAATAAAACTCCTTTCTCGCTGTCACATGGCATGGAAGCTTTGGCTCCTGCCGAGGTCGGTCTACCAACCATACGCAGAACGATGTTGACACAAGACACAAAAAAGAACGGAAGAATGATGAGGGATAGCCTCGATATGCTCGAAGAGGAGCGGGATCACGCCCTGGTACGTATGCAAAATTATCAGCAGCAAATCTCACGATACTACAACAAACGCGTGAAAGGAAGGCACTTCGAAGCCGGCGACCTCGTCCTTCGAAAGGTGTTCGAGAATACCGAAGAATACCGTGCCGGAAAACTAGGCGCAAAGTGGGAAGGCCCCTACCAAATCACCAACGTTGTAAAACCCGGCGTTTACGAGCTGATGACGATGGACGGCGAAATGCTACCTCGATCCTGGAACTCGATGAACATCAAGCGGTACTACTACTAAAAAAAAAAAAAAAAAAGGACGCTCACCGAGCTATACTCGGTCGAGCTATATCTCGAATGTGAACTACGATCGGCTTGATCCCAGTTTGTTGGGTACGTAGGCAACCTCTTACGAGGTACAGCTATTAATAGAATTTTATTTATACAAACTTTTACTTCGACAACTTTTACTACGACATCTTTCACTTCGACATCTTTCACATCGACATCCTAGCTAGATATTCGATCCTCTAATACGCATTTCCCTACAATGCAAACTCTTAATCAATCCTAAGGAACAAAAACCTTACGATTGTGAGAGAATAAGCCGGGACCAGTCCCGCATCTTTTCTTAAATCACCCGAATAACTACGTCGAGATCATTCTCACTATTCGGACACGATTAATGAAATAAAACAGGGTAAGCCGAGTCATACCTCGCACCTATTGTCCCCTTAAGCCGAGTACCACCTCGCACCTATTACCTCGCACCTATTATTTTACTAAGTTTTATCTCGCATCTCGTACCTCGCGTCCATTATATTCTTAGGTCAAGTCTTGTGCCTATCACTCGTAAGTATGGTTCCAATAAGTAAGTTCTCGCTTCGTTCCAATCTATTCGAACCAATTTTCACCTCGTATCAAGCATATCATCTCGAATCTATTGTCATTTAGATTGCGAGCTAATACTTCGTTTCGTTTTTCTTAAGTATACCTCGTATTTATTTACGCTTTATAACTCAAGTCGTGAGCTGATACTTAAAAAAAAAGCATTCATTAATAAAGATAGGTCGGGTCATTACGAACGAGGTAAAATAAAAAAAAGGAAGGCGAGTACAGATAAGAAAAAGGTGAATAGGATCTATTCTTCGGGCTCATTGCCGCCCTCGTGGTTCTCTCCATCCTCGGCATTATCTCCATCCGAACCGCCATCCGGAGTTTCAGGGTAAGGCGGAGGCAAGTCACCTTCTTCGAGATCTGTGAAGCTGAGGTTATCGAGATTCTGTTCGCAGTCGCGCTTCGACGATTCCAGCTCGGCTCTCAACTCTGCTTCAGACATCTCTTGCTCCTTCAAGAGATCAAGGCATTCCAGCGTACCTCGAGCCTGAACCAGATCGAGCTTAACCTTCTCGATCGCCTCTTGTTGAGCAACTCGAATCCTCAACCGATCGATGCGACCTGAATACTTCGCCTCAGCATCCGCCCAAATTCGGGTTGTCTCCACCTCGATCCTCTCATCAGCTTGTCGCTGTGCTCGGGTGACCTCGGTGGCGATCGAATTCTCGACCTGAATCTTAGCCTCATTAACAATTTGAAGATTGTTGACTTAGTCCAGATTCTCCTGCTTCATCGCCTCGATCTTGTCTGTCAGCTCCTTCACCCCGGCATCGAGCTGCTCCGCCTTTCTTTTCATCGTTTGCCAGTTATCCTCGGCAACCCTTTGCTGCTCGATAGCGGTGTCACGTTCCTTCACCGCTTTTTCTCCAGCAGCCTAGGCATCCTTCAGCCGAGCTGCACCATTCCGGAGCCAGCGCATGTATTGCCCCCTCGCGCGATTACAGCTCGCGATGAACTGAAAATAAAGGTAAAAAAATGTCAGTCGAGCTCACAGATGATTAAAGCGTAAAGAGAAGACTCCAAACATACCTTGAAGGCGAAGCTCGCCATATCCTTGAAAGCCCCATCAGTACCGGGAGGAACCTCGGAAGTGGAGCCTCTTATCATCCCGAATAGCTCAGCACATTTGTCGACGTTGTTGACAAACGGTTCACTCGACTCGGGGTATTCGAATTTGAAGCTCCAATCGATCTCCTTGGCTTTGTCATCGCCAGCTGGATCAACCCTAAGCCGCTTGCTCACAGCCTCCGCTCCAACTTGACCGCCATCGTCGCCGTCCCCGGAAGATTTCTTCTTTTTACCTTTCGCCTTAGCCTCGGCGACCTTCTTCTTCTCGGCGAGGCGAGCAGCCTCGGCTTCCTCCTTCCTTTTCCTCTCCCCGCGCTTCCTCTTCTTTTGTTTCTTCTCCTCGCGCCTCGCCGACTGCATGGTTTCGTCGGCCTCATCGTCTACTTGTCGAGTAGACACTTGGTCTTCGGCACTTTGAACCTCGACCCCACTTTCTGTTGCGACCTCAAGATTTACGTCGCGTTGAGTAACAACCTCGACCTCTTCTCGGGCCGGGACTGGATCTGTGTGTGCAGGCCGAGATGCAGAAGGACCTCGATCCTTACTCCCGCTTTTCTTGGCCTTCAAGCGTGCAGCGAGGCTGGGTGCGTTGACTTGGATAGGAGCCATCGCAATCGCTCTCTCCCTTAGAGAATTTTCCCTTCTCCAACTAGCTGAAATAAAAAAACATGTTAGACGACATAAAAGCTCAACTTGAAATATCGACGACATCGAACTTACTGTTCGTGATACGAGTGATGGCAGCCTCGACTCTTCGACGGTGTATATCGGGCCAATGTTGTATCCCAACAGCCCTGATCTTCTGAAGATTCTGGTGATAGTTTTCCGGGAACGCTTCGAGCTGAACGTTTCGATCTGCGAAAGATAAAGAAACATCAATAAAAGACAAGGAGAAACTCGAAATAAGACCAAACTGATAATCTACCGATGTTCCTGCTCCATTCGCTCCTAAAAACCCTGGTCGTATCGACGACCAATGCCTCATCCACCTTCGCATAGAAGAACGATGCCTCCCAGCTTGGTGTTCTGTTGACAGGATAAACCAGGGAACAATCCTTCCTGGCTTTTATGGTGTACGTGCCCGGGATCGAGTTGTTCTTTTGGACGTTGGTCATCTCCTCGAAGAAACGCCAATCGACGTCGACTCCAGCCTCGCTCCCGAATAGCAGAGCTGCGACCATAAATCGAATTCCCGCAGGGAGGATTTGCGAGAAAGCAATACCCCTCCGGTCGACGTAGTCCATCAACAACCTCGGAAGGGGGAACCAGAGATGACAAAGACTGAACCACGCCTCATAAAGCGTGACCCAGCCCTCTGGAGCTAGCCATGGCCGATCTTCGGGTCCCGGCGCCATCAACTCACCTCGAAAACCATATCGCGATCTAAACTCCTCCAGACGCTGAACCGTCATCTGTGACGGAATATTTTCTAAGCGATTCTTGATGGCTCCCTTGCGCTTGGAACCTTTACGTCGAGGTCTAGCCTCCTCGTCTTGTTCCTCTTCCCCGCCCTGATCATCTTCTTCTTCACCCTCTTCCTCGACATGCTCAACAGCCCTCCCGTCACGACCATCTTCCTCAAAAGGAACTATTTGAAGAGACGTCGCAGTTTCACCTCGCGGAGATGCCCCATCAGAACGAACTCGATCCGCCAATTCAACCAATGAAGACTCACTTCGATCCGATTGGGTATTGTACCTCGAAGATACCTCAGGAGAGGAGCTAGAACTCCCAGAGGCTTCTTGTTCAGACCTAGAGCCAGACTCTAAGCTAGACTCGATGCGTTGACCTCCCGAAGACATTATTCGATGTCGGACAATGACGGAAATAAAACGGCGAAAGGACGAATTCTAGAGAGAGAAAGGAATTCTAGAGAGAAGGGAGAGCGAGATTACCTTTTGTGCACGAAGAAGAAAATGAGAAGAAGACAGGAAGAGCGGAATATATAAGGAAGAAAAAATAGCGGTTACCGAGGAAAGTAATCATGATGCGGACGCTACCCAGTACTTTATTTAGTGACGGATTCCACTCGCGACTCTTCGATGCCCAAGACGACCGTTACTTCTCGCGACTCTTCGTCGCCCAAGAAGACCGTTGCTTTTTGCGATTCATCACTTCCCAAGAATCACGCTTCCATTCGCGACTCCTCGCTGCCTAAGACGACCGTCGGCTATTTGCGGCTCTTCATTCCCTCTAAGTATCACCTCGACTCCGAAAACTCCACATCGATATCGAGGTCCAAAGGTATGAAAGTTCCCCAGCTCGATGCGTTGAATATCGAAGTAACATCTCCATCAACGGACTGGGGGGGGACAATTGTTGTAGGTGGGCTGAGCACAGCCCCCTTTTTGTAATTTCGTTCGGGCCCACTAACGAAATAAAAAGCCCAGTAAGATCGAAGATCGACAAGCCCACACGCGAAGATTAAAACGAGGTCGTTCAAAGAGACAACCTTTTCGTATCAAAGGAGCAGCTCGCCACTTCGACACGGATGGGACAGCTCGCCACCTTGACACGGATGGGACAGCTCGCCACGTCGACAAAGATGAAACAGCTCGCCAGCACGACGCTCCGATAGACGGTCGGTCAGGTCTATCTGCCCGGCCGCCCAAGCTACTCTGACCGAGATGTAACCTAATTTAAGCACTATAAATAGCCCTGTAACTTCATTTATTACGGGATCCGTAATCTGAAATAAAGACAAAAACACTCTACACTTAAATCTTCAACTCTTACCTCGTTTACTTGACCTCGTAATATCACCTCGAGAACCTCATATCGATCTCACCTCTACTCAAACAAGAATCTCCGAGCTCCACTTAGAAACATTTACCAAAGTGACCTCGTGTGTGGATATAATACAACAATTCCTATGTATTATTAGTAGTTAATCATCATTGACGAAAACGAACTACTAGCATATCACACCAATCTTAGTTATTCGCATCCCTTTTTGCTCATTCTAATCGAACGACATATGAAGTCTGTATTAAAATCTAAATAATAAAAAATAATATACTTTACTCACTATATTATATACAAGTAATGAAAAATTGAAAGTTTAATTAACTTTAACATTAGCTTTGACCCGATAATACTTGATATCAGGTCAAAGCTAATTTGGCTGTTTGAAAGTTGACGCAAGGTTGTGATCTGATTTCTTGCTCTCCATAACGCTCTCCAAGGGAAAATCAAGAATATAAGTTGAATGGGTTCAAGGAACATTAGGGTACCTTGAGCCATAACAATACCAAGAATGTTGTGAGTGAATATAACGATGTGATTTTGAATATGTTTGTTGGTTGGCCTCACAGGATGGATCGTGATCCTCAAGGCATTCTTTCATATGTGAAAGGCTTATGTGAGAATGGTAAGCTCCATGAAGTAATTAATCCTGAAGCCAAAAACCTCTCTTTGATATTCTCCACTATTTCATAAGTTGAGAACATTCTGCCTTCAAAGAGTAGCATGTTTTTTTTTTTTTCCAAATCCTTCATATAATCTAGGGCAAGCTAATACGCAGATCCATATAGTGCATTTGATATTTCTTCCCGTAGTTAGTAGATGTTGAAAGTTTGAGTAAACAGACTCTTGGTCAAAACCATTTTCCGAGACAGAGTATAAAATCTGATAGTGCTCTTATCTGTCAAGGGAATGTGCAATAAAAAGAAAGAGATGATTCAAAGATTCACCTTCATAACAACATGTTTGGCATTGTTGACCAAAAAGAAAATAAAAACAACATATTTGACATCCATTGTCTACCTTCATTCCTCTTGAAGTTAACTTGTCAACCACGGGAATAGCTAAACTTAAATTTCCATAGAAGTTTTTGTTGAGCTTTGAATCAATTTAAATGGACGAATCTTATATTTAAGATCTTTTATGGGGCGGGAGCCAAGAGTCTTCCTGAATTATTGTTTGGAAAGCCAACCAGTACCCTTACTTCCCGAAGAACGCACCACTTTTATTGTGTGTTCCAATACCAAAAATTCTATTTTAATAGAAATTCCAATGCAACTTTTGTAGTTATGCCCGACAGGGTTCATATTCTAGAGTTAGAGCTCATTTGTTTGGAATAAAGAATGCTATCATTACTGTTTGTAAGAAAGTGCCAAAGACTGAAAAACTTGCAATGCAAAGGTGGGAAGATGAATTTGAGAAGAAGAAAATTGAGTCTAGACCAAAAGAAGTATTTGCTTTGTGAAGTTGACTCTGCTTTCCAGAAAAAAAAGTCTGCTGACTTACCAATAGTTAAGAGCATTTGATATTGAAACCAGGGAGCAATTGTATCAGGAAATTGCAACAATATTTTTCTCTTGAGGTTAGATTTAAATCTTGCAAAGAATCCACACTAGCACAGGAATTTTCAGTTTGCTACAGCCAACAAACTTGATGGTTATGTACCCCATGGTTATAATAAGCTGAGAACAAACTTGTTAGAGAAAGAGAGTTCCCATGTTAGGAAATTATTAGATCCACTTAAGTTAACATGGAAAGAAATAGGAGTGCCAATTGTGTCAGATGGTTGAAGCGATCCTAACAGAAAACCTCTAATTAATTTTATTATTATTTCTGGGGATAGTCCTGTGTTTACCAAGGCTGTGAATTGTTTTGGTGAAGTAAAAGATAAATTCTTCATTGCTGATTTGGTAAAAGAACTGTTTGTTTGGCAGCCCTTCATCAAATTAAAAACTTATCTTTCATTTCACCAAACCAAATCTTTCATCAAATCAGCAATGAATAATTTATCTTTCACCTCACCAAAACAATTCATAGTCTTAATAAACACAGTACCATTACCAGAATTAGCAATAATAATAATTAGAGCTTTGCTGTTAGAACCGCTCCAACCATCTGACACAATTGTCACCTCTCTTTCTTTCCATGTTAACTAAAGTTGGTCTAAAAATTTCTCAACATGGTTCCTCTTTTTCTCTAACAAAGTTGTTCTCAGCTTATTATAAGCAAGGGACACATAACCATCAAGTTTATTGGCAGCAACAAACAGAAAAGACCTATGATAATATGGATTCCTTGCAAGATTTAAAGCTAACCCTCCAATGAAAAATATTCTTGCCATTTCCTGATTCAATTGCATTTTGGTCTCAATATCAAATGTTCTAACAATTGGTGAATCAGCAGACTTTCTTTTCTTAAAGCAGAGCCAACTTCACAAGGAAAAACACTTCTTTTGGTCCAGACTCATTTTTCTTCTTCTCATATTAGTTTTCCAACCTTTGCATTGCAAATTTTTCAGTCATTGGCACTTTTTTACAAACAGCAATGCCAGCATTTTTTATCCAAACAAATGAGCTCTAACCCTTGAATATGAACGCTGTCACTTTAAAAGTTGCACTAGATATTCCATGTTCCTCATCTTCCTCCTTGTTTCTCTATATAAGATACATAACTTCCATAATGGAGCATCTTCACTTTGCCCGAAATATCCATTAAATCAAATTGCAAAAAAAAAAAAAACTAAACAAAACAAAAAAAACATACAAACGCTACGACATGCACATAGCAACAAGGAAGAATGCTTCTTCAAGAAGCAACAGGGCAACACTAAATTAAATAAATTATTGAGAGAGATAAGAATATAAGATAAAAAAGTAACAAGCAACAAAACCATTGACCTACGACACGAACAAGGTCAAGCAACACTAACTCCCTTTTGAATTTGAGACAAAAACAATAATGAGAAGAAGAATGATTAGAGTAGAGACTAGAGACGTACTATGGAGTTTGGAGCTTGCTATGACCTACGATCAAGGTGAATAGGTGAACTGGTGAAGAGAACTTAGAGAAGACAAAGTGACCAATCGATTAAAAACGCAAACCCTAGAGGTTTAAACGTGTTTTCCTTTTATTCTTTTATTATTTTAGTTTTATTTCTTTTATTATTTTAGTTTTATTTTTATTTCTTTTACTAGGATAGTACCCGTGTTGTGCACGGGATAAATGTTATCTTTTATACCGAAATCATAAACTACTATAATGTATGTGTACAGGATGTTGAATGACAAATCAATTAATTGCGCATTTTGTTGTATTTGAAACAGAATTTATTTTAAGTGTTTATTTATGTTAGTACCATATTGATATATGATAAATGGACTTGATATATGTGACTAACTATTTATTGATTTGTTTTGTATTTTTTTTTGTTTTTAATAGTTTCCCTTTTTGTAATATACAGTAATGAATGAATTTAACCGATTTCTAATTTCATTCATAAATATATATATTGCGCTAATTATTATAAGAAAAATGACCAAAATATATTGAAGTGTATGATGAAAAGAAAGACAGAACTAATATATTCGACGGGTAATATTAATATTATATTTTGGTATATTATTTATGTAATACAACCATTAGAAAGAGTAATATCCAAGTTAAAAAGGGAAAAAATAGAATAACAGAGTGAAGCATAGATGACATCGAAGATCTAGTGATGTGATAGAGAATTATGGTCTTCTCGAAGTTTTAGCTTTATCTTTCAATTGTGGGAATCATTGTTTCTGTTTGCAGAAGCTATCAGAGGCGAAGATGTAACACTATATAATTTATTCATAGAATTTTGTTGTAGTTATTATACTGTTGAAGTTGTATTAATTTAATTCATAATTTATTTGGTTTGAGCATAGTTTTTAGTTGAATATGCTTAAACTTATTCGACATATGTTTTTCTTTTAGTATATTAAAACTGTTTCAGATATTCTAGAGATAACTAATGTCTATTATAATTAAACATGAACGTTATTAGAAAGAGTAATCATGTATATTTACAGAATATACTAAATAAATCGGAGATAAAAACTGAGGTTCTATTTTACAATCTCATTTCCCTGGTTTTTAGCTAACCAATTTTTTTAAAAACATTTAGATAACTTTCATAATTTTATATTATCTAAACTACCACAAAGTTCTAAATAACAGAATAAACAGAAATTCGATAATTAAAATACGTCCTTAATAAATAGAAATTAAACAGCAAATATCCAAAGGATCCATAACAAAACATACGATAAGTTTAAAGTTTTAACAGAAATATAAAAGTTCAACATCACACCATAGACTTAGAAAATAAAAATAGTTAAACGCAACAGATGATGATTCATCTCTAGTCGACTTTAGTTGCGCAAGTTCCTTGAGTTGAAGACGCAGCCATCATTTTTTTGGTAATCCTGCAAAATATGAATGAGGACTTAATTATAGAAAGTTCGATTTTTAGTAAAGTAAAAAGAAATATATTTGAATGCTTACTTATTCTTGAACTTATAAACTTGATCGATGGGTGGAGCAAGTAAGAAGCGAGAGAAGCCAGTGTTTTCATGTTCATGGATAGTCAGTTCATCTAAAGAGATAACATAAATCATATGAGAAATTGCATCTATGTCCAAATTACTTAAAATTTGATAAAATGATCTAATAGAAATATATACATACCGATATTCTTCTTAACTGTCCAGTCAGTTAAAACACAAATAGCCAAGGGACCTGTGAATCCTTTACATCGTTCTTTGATGTCCACAGCAAAGTCACCATATGCAAAGCATTGGAAGGAATAATCCCTAAGTTGATTACAAACAAAGGGTGAAAAAAAAAACAGTAACAAAATTTTTAAAAAGGATTAAACTATTATCATACTCTGCATCCTTAAGTGTGAACTCTAGAACTCGCTTTGTTTCTCCATCTGGAAAACACTGGGTGTAGACCTCGCCAATATTTTCAAGACTTCCCATCAAATCTAAATATATAATCAGATATTTCAGTTACTTAAAAACAAAATCTTAAAGCATAAAAGGTTTTGTATGTCTAACAAAACCTAATTAAGTAAACAGAACATGCAATGAAAAATATAGTTTGTAATCATAACATACCAACTGGATAGTACTGCGCAAATGGTTTTCGGTAGATAGCACTGAATTCAACCAAGTTGATGAATGGATCTTCTGTCTGTGGCCTGAGAGTTCCAGCCTTTGCCTCGTGTGTCAGGATAATTTGGTGACTGTGGTTTGTAGTCCTTCCCTTCATTTCCCATTCAGAATTGGCTATCCGAAAATTAGTTAGCCTCACCCATCTTCCTTCAGTACAGACATATTCAAAATAGGATAATGCTCTGTTTGTAGCAAATCCATTGATCCTGTTACCCTGAAATAGTATACAGAAATATTAATAAAACTATGTAAACATATCAATCAAACAATGGATAAGTAATGACAAATATATAACTTACATTCTCGTCAACAAATATGAAGTTCATTGCCGGTAAGCCTGCGTCGTCTTTAACTGACCAGCACTTGTAAACCTTGACCTTAATGATCCAATCATCCCTCCATGCATGAAGTTCGTTAACACCTGCGTACTCACCCATTAGATTCTTCTTTTTTCGGTAAAAGATGGAGTTTTTGGAAGACAGAAGAGAGTAGGGTTTTTTCTAGATGTATGAATGGAAAGATAAACGTTTAGTAGAGAAAATGTAGTATATATAGAAAAAATATTGAACAGATGCGATGGTTGTTATTTTTTGGAAAGTTAAAACATTTTTGGAGAGTTGCAACGGTTGAGAAGATTTGGTATATAGATATGAGGAAGCAGTTATTAATATGAGAGTAACTGTTTCTGATTTTTTTATATTTACAAAGACAATGTATGCATTGATAGACGATATAATATAGGGAAGTAGGAAGTTGGTATATATCAAGTCAAAGTTATTTAGGGAGTAGATTTACATGAACATAGATTCTCTAAATAATGAATATACTGACAATAACATTGAAAATCTTTTATTGAATCTTCAAAGACAAAATTATTTCCAATATTATCAATGTCTATGGATGGAATGGTTTGTTCAGATTTGATAGTTGGATATTAAGGACATGTATCAGATCAAGTGCATCACAAAAACAGAATTCAACATTGCAATGATAATCATTGAATGAATAGTAACTTGTAATATTCGTATCATATAGTCATATTCTGTTTACTGATTAAAATAATGAGTATATACAATTAATTCACATATTTAAGAGATAATATGGAAAAAATATAAGGAAATAAAATAAGAAAACTAAACTATGTTTATATTTTCATATGAAATAATTTTTCGAGACAACTGAATATATTTCTAAACCCTATCTCATAATGCAAATTTCAAACATATATATACATATCAATACTATGAGATGTATGTATTATGAGAGAAATTTTATAATACTAATAAGCAGACAATTTATATAGATAAAGCAAAATATAATGTCAAAATATTTAAACATAACAAAAGATAAGAACATAATGTATCTTATTTATCATCCCACAGGAAAGTTAAAAAAATAATCAATATTTTATTTCTTCTGCTTCTTCGATGATGATGTAGCTTTGGCATCATTCTTCATTGCTCCTTTTGACTTGTTTGATTTCTTCTCATTATTCCAAAACCTAGTTAGACAAATGACATATATAAAAATAGTTATGATTTATGTAAACAAATTAGTGAAAAAGTAAGATTGACAAAATAAAAATTATTACATTTTACAAAAGGATTCCGCTACTTCTAACTCAGGGTGAAATTCAAATCTTGTTATTCCACCTCTGCTTTTGAGATATATATTACCTGTAAATAAACACGTGTATTTTAAAAACATGTCACCATATTTATAAAAAAGATATAAAGAGTGTTAATGTAACACAAACCTCCATCATTTTTGATACTCCAATCAGTTAGAAGACACAAAGCAGGAATTTGTCTAACATCCCATATTTTGTTATTGAAATCAACAGCTAATTGTCCTACGGCATTGCACTGAATCTGCATATCACTACACGAAAAATATGAAGTATATAATTACCCTTTTAGAAAAACTTAAACTATAAAAAACAACATAATGAGCAATGCTTACTTGTGATCTTTCATTGTGAAAGTAATAGAAGGAGTCATTTTGTTAGGCCTATTTGGGCAAGTTTGATCTTTTATAACCTTTAGTTCTTCTGTACTAATAACAAAACCCAAAAGATCTGTATACATATATATATAAGGACCTAATCAGTTCTTATCAACCAAAATATTATACACCTATCTCAATAAATATTGAATTTGAATATAAAGTTAGAATGTTTACCAACAGGGAATTCAGAATCGGCTTCGCCTTTAAGAATTTCGGAGAAAGAATAGAAGCCCTTTCCAGATTCCACTTCCCTTGGTTCAGTATCAGTTATAGTCGTATTTTCCAATAACTGTATAGACCAACTGATTGGAGAATTTGGTTCTGGTAATGGATCTTCAAAGACCACAAAATCTTTGATAGTCTTCCAATCACCCTCGTTAATTTCTCTATCATATAACTTAATCAAACCGGCATGATACAGATATGCTTGAACCATATCACCCTGTATAGAAAAAGTTATGTTCCAAAATAACCAATATAATAAATTAGGAATTATTATAGTTAACAAACCTCTTCGTCCATGAGCATCATCTGTAACGAATCACGATTAGGAGTTCCTTGATCGATCCATTTCTTCAGTACCTTAACTCGGAGGCTCCAATTTGTTCTATCGAGATGCAAATCGTTGATATGGTCATAAGAAGCCATTACCCTAGTGTGTAGATTTCTGTTTGAAAGAGAGGAAAGTAATTTAATAAAATGGATGTTACAAAAGTTGGACGATAAGGATCTATTGCTATTTGACAGGATATATAATAATTAAATTCTTAAAATAAAACCCTACACATTAAAGGGATTGGAAACCGATTATGTAACCAATACGGTAATACAATTTACTTTATTGAAAGATTCATTCATTTTGGAAAAGGGTATATGCATCGGTCAATCAACTGAACTCTTTCTGCTAAGTATGCAGCTTTTCTGAAATTGAATATATTTAGGCAAACTCATATTAGTCAAACTAATTATTATGAGATGTATTGAATATAGTGACATATGTTTTTCATAGTGAATAAGGATATAAAATATATCTAAACATAAAATCATACATATATTCCCACAAAAATACATTTAAGTATTTAGGCGAGTAGATTCATACAAATATTTCCATTAAAAAATATCTTCAGTTGATTCATACATATATTTACGTAAATATTTGTTTACCATAATGTGTTTTTCATATATGATGTCTTTGGTAATTGTCGGTTAAATTAAACTATTTATAGTATGGTGTTTAAATATGAAATCCTTGTAATTTATATATGTTTTGTCTTCTAATTCATTACTTTGTTAATTCGGAATCATCAACTTGGAAAATTTACATATTGTTTGTCTAAATAATTATTCACTTCAAAAATTCATCTATGATAAATTGAACTGAATTAAACCAAGTATTATTGAGGTAGACAAAATAAAAAATATCATAAAGGTCGATAGAACAAAAAATTAAAATATAACAAATAAAATAAAAGTCTAACAGATAATCTAATTCGATATATATCTGCTAGATTATTTTGAATGGTTGTCTTATTCATGCCGCATCCATGTGCTCATCCTCCATACCTACATAGTTCAACAAACATATATTGTTAATATCAAAAAACATAAAATTCTTAATAGTATGTGCATTCATCAGTTCAAATATAAATGAAATGTCCACATAATCACGATTACCTATTTAAATCAATAGTATAGAGTGCACCTCCTACCATTGAAACATGTCCTTCTGACTATACATTTTTGACATAAAAAACGATCATACAATTCAATAGTTTTTCATAATTAGATATAAAAATATGATGACATATGTAACATACGTACCCTCAAAATGATTAAGTGGTTTAACCGTGGTAGAGATTATGAATTGAATCATTTTGTTGTATGATCGATTACTGTTACACGATGGTATTTGGATAACAGCAAATTCATTGATTTCAAACCATGATCCCTCAATCAGTAAACAATCATACTTCTCAATCAATTTCTTTGTAACTCTGGCCTGGATCTTATTACCCTGTCAGAGAAAACAAAACACCAGTTATTAGCCATTAGTTTAACAAAATATATAAGTAGATTCTAATATAGATATCATATTTTTAACCTCGATATCTATCATATTCATATCAAGAGTAGTCCCTTTATGTCGACTGTAGTGCTTCCACTTCTTAATTAGTTTAAGACGCACAGTCCATTCTGTTGTAAACTGATCAAGATTCGAAACTTTGTCAATAAGAAGAGACATTTTGTTTTCTATTTAAGTCTGATTTAGAGAATGAGATTCTGTATGTAAAAGATAAACATATATATATGAATTAGAAAGGAGTTAACGTGTTAGGGTTTTATTGATTAACTTAACTAATAAGAAATATATTAGGTAACAGAAAGATTATGAATCAACCAAATATTCACAAATCTTGATTAAATTAAATACATGGTCATATATCTTATAGTCATGTACTAATCTTGGAAACTATAATAACAAAGATCATATATATGTATGGCTACTATATTAATCATTTAGTATCTATACAAACATTCATATAATTTTTTTATTTTAAATCTCATACAATTTCTTTCATTCAGTATATATATAAAATCACTAAGTGCTGAATAATTTGATCATGTAATACATAAAAGGCCATTTCAATGATTTCGAACAAATATATAACAAAAAATATCATTGTATACGAATTACAATTGTTTTGCATAGCTATAAAAACTTAAATGGTAAAAAATGTGGAATGATTATTCGCTCCAAGGAAGAGTTTTATATAAATTTTCCTGACAATAAATTTTCCTTCCAATTAGTAACAATTCATCATATATAAATCAAATATATAAAGAATATAAAAAATAGTAACTTACCAAATAGTTCTACTTGATAAGCTTCTGGAATATTTCTTTGAAGACGACATTCATGGTCTGTTTCTGTGGATTGCCTTCTTTGTCAACAATGAGAACCTTTAGCCCTTCTTTAGACTTAACTCTGGATAGAGCAACATACAACTGACCATGTGAAAAAACAGGTCTAGGCAAATATAAACCAACACTTGAGAGTGTTTGTCCCTGACTTTTATTGATGGTCATAGCAAATGAGACCATCAATGGGAATTGTCTCCGTCTCATTCTGAAAGGGAACTTGCCTTCAGGAGGTGAAACAAACAATCTAGGTATATAGACTTTCTGACCGAGTGTATGCCCTGTTAACACAATTGCTTCAACGATGTGATCAGCTAGTTGAGTCACTTGAAGCCTGGTTCCATTGCATAACCCACTATTGGGATCAATATTTCTTAGCAACATGACAGGTGCTCCGACCCTCAACTTTATACAATGATTAGGTAAACCAGAAATCTTTATGTTATTCAAAAAGTCTGGAGTATAAACACTACTGTCATGATTGGAAGTATCTGATGGATCTATAGAAATTGAACTTAGATAAACTCTCTCTTCACCTGTTTACAAAAATGATCAGTTAATAAGCTATTATTAAAAATCATAGTACTACATATAATAAGCCAACAAAATACAAGTAACGATTATGTATATAGATTATACCTCGAAGAGCAGACATCATGTAATCATTAATCGCGCATACATCATCATTAGTTGGACATAAAATTGCTCTTTCCTGGAAAAAGTTAGGATCGTTTTGTTCTTCAAATCCTAATCCATAAACAGATTCAACAATAGCCTTAATCGGCTCATTGCACTCTGTTATCAAAAGTTCCTCGGGCATATCAATCATGACTTCCCCTGTATTTGGTAGATTAACCTTACCATCACCTACCCGAAGAATCCATATAGAAAAAGATTTGATTTCTTCTGCAACACTTGCATCAATGTCTGCCAATAAACACATGTTTTTTGTTAATTTCAAAACTTTACACTCGTCCCATAGATAAGAAGAACATAGAGATGCCCTTGTGATATCTTCTCTTCCACCACCAGTTATAACAGGCAAAACTTGTCGGAAATCACCACCAAAGACAACAACCTTTCCACCAAAAGGTTTATCTTTATGCCTAGGAATAACATCACGCATACTCCGATCTAAACTCTCAAAACAAAATTTACTCATCATAGGAGCTTCATCCCAAATGATTAATGAGGCCTCAGCCACTAATGCAGCTAAATCTGATCCTGGATGCATATTGCAAGTAGATAGCTCATCTGGATTTAAAGGAATTCCAAATCGTGAATGAGCTGTTCTTCCACCAGGCAATAAAAGAGCAGCTATACCACTACTGGCCACGTTTAATACAATTTTTCCTTTAGAACGAATGGCAGCAGACAAAATTTTCCATAAATGTGTTTTTCCTGTTCCACCAAACCCATATAGGAAAAAAACACCACCTTGGTCTAATGTAACAGCTTCCATTATCTCTGAGTATACTTTCATCTGCTCTTCAGTTAAACCAGGAAGCATCTTATTATGGAGAGCAGACATCTCATCCTTATCATAATTCCTTTCATCGAATAACAATCGATTAATGGAAGCATTATGATAACCATCAGATGGAAGAGGCATACCATCAAAATAAGCCAAAGAACTTCCATTGCTACGCATAATTATCTCAATTGCATCCAATGTATAATTTTTGAGCTGGTCTTCAGAAAGGGTTGAATCTACAACAAACGATGGAAACAATTAATAAAATATAATATAATGGTTATGTCATAGATATATTTTGTTCCAAATATTTATGAAAATACATTCTCTGTTTTCTAATCTCATTCGTCGATATATGATATCATCTGAAAGAAGTTGCCAAGTCTCATTCCAAACTCCACATGGATTAAGAATACTATCCGTAATGAGCATAACAGCAAAAAGTTTCTTTAGGAAAGATCCGGATCCCCAAATGCTTGCTTCTTTCAAAGCTTCTATGTATTCAGTGTCATCATCTAGCAAACCCAAAGCATAACATGCATCCTTGAATGTAGGATATAAAACTTTGTCAACCATTTTCAAAAAATCAAAACTGGTTGGACATTGGACCCTGTTTAGCAATACACGTAAATAGTAAAGCTGACCACATGATAGAGGAACATATGTTAGTCTCCCTATAGCCATACCCTTTTGTCTTGGCCTCCACTCAACCTCTTTTCTGTTGTATATAAACACTATTGGGAATTCGGCATAGGTGAGATTCTTCGATAATTCAGGATATTTGTCGCAAGCTTCAAAGAAAGCAAGTAGCATTGAACTCTGAACTGATCTGCGATTAAGAACTGTTTCTACCGGGCCATCATCACCATACACGCATGGTTGTTCTCCAGGAAGATGGAAATATAATTTTTCCACAGGCAAACTTCTAAAATGTATTGCAAAAGTAAGTATACGCCAAGATGCTTCGCAAGCAGATACATATCTGTTGATATATTAAGCAAATTATAGAGAGTTAAACATATGAGGAAAACGACAATATAAGTGTTGAATACTTATAATTGTAAGTTCGAGAAACAATAAATACCTGCATTCAAAATACTCTCTAATCTCATCTTTAGTAACTTCAGATGCGTCGTCACCATCCTCGTTCGCAAACTCACCAATGTCTATGGCATTATTCTCGATAGTAGCTAAAACTCTATCAGGACCTTTGTGGATGTATTTGAATAAATACTTAATTGACCTAGCTTGTGTA